TTAGCAAGATAAAAGAGACAAAGGATGGTGATCTTGAATGAGTTCAGTTGAGACAAGAGAGGTGATTGCTTTGATTGCAGACCAGTTTTTTTTTATTTTATGTTTTTTGACAGTCCAGAGCATCACATATAGGAAATCACCAGTGCCTACTGTGCATCTCTGGTATGGCTGAGTAAAGCACTTGTTCATTTGCAGTGAAGGGTAACATGAAACAGGCCTCAGCCCCTCTGATGGACAGGGAGATTTCACCTTCGCCAGTGAATGATAATGCATTATTAAATTTGCCTCTCTGCTCACTAGATACACTTAGCTGACCACAGCATATTTATCTCCCCATCCGAGGCTCACGTCTTGGCAGGAGAAAGCATTCTGTCACTTTTGAGGCATTTCAAAGATTAAAAAGAACCTCTCTCTTTTCAACGTCCCTAAAAGCATCCCCCACCCCACACTTTTTTTTTCTTTTTTTTTGCACAGAAATGTGATTAGCAGGAGATCGTGTCACGCAATAGAACATTCATGAGGAGGAGAACAAATATCCAAATGAACTCCTGTGTCCTGGAGGAATAGCCTCCTCTCTGCACCATCAGCAATCTCTCTCTCACATGGGCTGGGGCAAATTTGATTGATCCTCTATTGAATTATTTTTTTGCACTCTTTCATTTCAACGGGATGCACTGACAAGTTGTTTGATCATAAAGCATTATTGTCTGCCAAGTCACATTTCAGGGCTGTGATGGCTAATGATCTTGCCTCCCTGACTTAGGGAAAGTCAGGTAGTCAGCATGTGTTTGAAGCGCACAATGCCAAGTACATCGAGAGGCCTGAACAAGAAAAAGAAAAAAAACACCATGCATTAAAGTCAGAAAAGATGAAGCGAAGGAGCTTACACGGAGCATGTTCAAACTTTTAATGATACTGTATGGGGATAGCATCAATGTCAGTGAAATATTTACACTGACTTGGAAAGTTTTGCCCGACCCAAAGTCCCCTACCTTTTTATCATTGCGGCTGCATATGCAAAGAAGGAACACAACAAAAGGACTACAAAGGCTGGGTAGCACTTTTTTGTCTTTTTCATCTTCTTTTTTTTCGTTTCAAACTATATAGCCCCCTTCACTACATGAACCCATCAGTGTCCACAGGTTTATATGCTCAAAGCTCATCGTTCAAACTGTGCACTGGGACTGCAGACGACAGCAGCATTAAGTGCATCAACTGGGCAACTACAGGCGGCTTCCTGGCAAAGAAAATGAGCCTCGTCCACCAGCGGTACCGCACGTCAGAGGGCGCTCAGTTGAGAGCAGGTATGAAAAGATACACCTCGAGGTGGCATAATACCCCACAGCTTTCCATTTGTGCTTTGGAGGATGTTATAAAAGCATCTCCTGTTGTGTCAACAAGTATATCTAACATTTACCAGGGAAGAGTCGATATCATATTACCAGTGATTCATCCACTTTTAAAATATGGTTTACGGAATCAGCTTACACCGTAGTTGCCTCTGAATGTCCTGTCAGGCCTTTTAGCTGACTGTAAAACAAACTGCATTGCTTTCATCTTAGTGAATGACTTTTTTTCTTTTGGAAGAAAACTTTTGAACTTCGTCATGAGCGCAGTGCATATGGCTTGTGTTTCAAACACMCTTCTTTCCCCTAAGGAAATAAAATGATATCCCAGTGTTTGATGTCCAAAGTGAGTTTACAGCCAAAGGATTCCAAACCTTMCTTAATCCCCACCGTTTGTCAGCTACCTGCTGTTTCACGAGACAGAGGCTTGTCGGAACCCATCGCCACAGACGTTTCGTTTGAAGCAATTCAATTAGTCACATGCGAGGCAACATTTAGCTACTCCCTTTTTTGTTTTCCCATACCAAACATCTGATCTTACTTTCTTTGTTTTTAATTTGGCAAAATTTGGACTCCAAAAAACACCAAAGTCCAAATAAAAGTCCCCCAAAAATGGAAAAGAAAACACCATCTGGTTATCCTGCACTGGGTGACACAAGTTTGGAAACCATCTTTTTTTTTTAAACACGACAACAAACAGCCTTTCTCCTTCATCACCAGAAACGACATGAAAAAGACGAGACACGTTCACACGACATGAGTGATGAGACATTATAGCGTCTGTCTAGGAGGTGTCTGGCTATTTAAATCGTCTCCATATGAGCCAGGGCGCTGCATCCTTCCTCCGTACCCACCGAGTTGGCTTCCAAGAGTGCATTGCAAGAGATTAATTTAATGCTCTGCCAGGATCATAAAGATCAAACAAGTGGAGAGATATCATTAAACCACCAGAATGTTATCTCATTTATCTAAACAAACTGATGCGATGAACAAGCCTAATTAAAAAGCTCACCATAAACAACGTGGTGCATGGCGAGGCCCTTTTCCCACTTTAACAACGGCAACACGTTTGTTTTATTAATCTAATGCATTGTGTATCATATCATTACAGTTCAATATTTCTATCATTAATTTTATTCCTTTCACTTAAAGCTTTTATTGGAATTACTTTGGTTATTAGTTGGTTCTAATGTATTGGTTACCTCTGTATCTTTGCAGCCACAATCTCTCTTATCTCGCTGCATAAACCTGTGCATGTTATTCAAATTGCCTCATTTATTATGATAGCTTCCTCATGTAAATTGTGCTGACTGCTCGCCCTTGCACAGTCCTCATTAGACTAATGAAAACCTTCAAACGAAAAAACTAAACAACCTGCCAAATAAAGGTCTGGGGTTATTATGAAAATTACAACTGTTGGAGCCGGGAGAAGCTCTCTTCATTAATTCATGCTCAGCAAATTGGTAACTAATTTAGTTGCACTCCTCTGCATTAATGGGTTATTTTATAAAAATGTTTTCCATAGCCAGAGACCTCTGGTGCGCACTCTGGAGAGCTCAGAATCCTAATCAAGTCCGGTGACATATTAGGAATTGACAATCTCAAAGATAATACAGCACGTGTTCGCCGGTAGGTCAAACGGTTCAAACTGCCCAGGGAGCGTGGGTCATTTTATTCTCCTTTTTCGAATGTTTGCAAAGAAATTAGAGTCATTTATGTTGATTATCTAAATACGGAGGAAGCACTTCAGCGAGATTTGAGGAAACATTCAGTTGATTTGTCTAACTGTTTGCATTAGTCTATTTATATGAATGTCCTCTCGGCTTCGCACATATGAAAAGCCTCCAATTGTAACACACAGGCACACACAGTTAGACAGTTTGTGACCCAGAAATTCAGCTCATGATCCTGCTAATTATTACTATTCACTGCTTCGCACCCTGCGTGTGAAGGTCTAACACCGATCTTCACATGTGCGTGGCCATCAGGGAGCGTACAGCCCCATGATTTCCATAGTGGGTTTCATATCATTATCAGCCTCCCCCCACCCTCTATCACACACYGCGCCACTAAAACCAACAGAGATTACAAAAATCTATTATTTGCTGCGTGTTTGTATTTAATCCTCAATGATTTCTTTCTGGATATGGTTCTACTTCTGGTTGTTGTTGTTTTTTTAACAATACATATTGATGAAACAGCAAAATGACATTTAATTAAAAAAGTAGCTGACAGTGAGATTTTGAAGTAAAATTATCAGGTATTTTCTTCTTCAAGGTTCCGATTGATGATAGCAAAGAGCTCTGTGCACTAAGCTCAATTTTACTTTTTTATCTTTAAGGTATATCTGATTCTTATTGCTTGTATACAATGATTAATCTGTCTGTTAGCAAAATATTCCATAAACAACTTGATGGATTTTATTTAAATGATAAGAAAATTATTATTGGAATTTAATCTACAACTGATAAACTTCAAGAATCATCAACCTCTATAGGTATTTGACCACTGACATATGGTAAGTGGCTACAATACTGAGGTGTGTTTTTGGTGTGGTTGTAGCTGACAATCATCTCCACCATGTACTCCAAACACTAGCAGAACACTAGCAGAACAGTTGCATTCCCTTCAAAAATTGTACTTTTTATTCACTTTGAAAAAAAAATCAATGTTGTTCTTAGTAAATCGTTGCATAATTTCAATTTTAAAATGTACGCACATGATTCGTAATAATAATAATAATAATAATAATAATAATAATGCTGAGCACCTTAGATCCAGTTTCATAAGTTAGTTTACAAATAATATAAAATCTACCATCGGATTAAATGAGAAGAAGGACAATCAAAGAAAATATATTTAAAACAAAAAGTTTCAGGATTTTTATCTTATTGTAATAATAATCAAGATGTTTAAAAATTCTTTATATTTTACAAAAACAAAGTATACTTTTTATCCAAAGGAAAGCCTGGACATTTGCAGTCACCGATTACATGTAAAGGCAACCAGTGCATGTGTTGTTTACAGTGCACCTGTTTTTAACTAGTTTTCTATCTGTTTCACTTAAAATGAGAAAGGTTAAAGAAATATTCACAACCAGTCTGTCTTTGTAAATGGCAATAAAATAAAACCAACACAGTATTTAGCAGGCTGTCATYGAGTTCATTTCTTCTGTTAATCTGAGCATTTTGACACGAAGCCCCAAGTGGCCGTTAGTTGCGCTGCTGCTTTTAGAAATTTGGTGTTGGCTTTGTTTTTCAGCTCCAGAAGTTGTTGTTTTGTTGGACTATGTTAAAACAAAAATAAAGTAGATTTAATAAAAATGGTTCCACTTCTGATAGGACATTAAATGTGGAATTCTTATGTTGTATGGTTTTCATACATCAGCTCTTTATACAGTATATAAACTGCACAAAAACCTGCAGGTTAGGCTGGGTTGCCTTCCAACCCAGGCCTACCTTGCATGGTCTCAGTGGGATTTGTCTCATTAAATAAAGGTAAATAAACAAGTAATGTCAACCCCTGTTCTTTGTTTTGATTGATAGTTCTCTATTTCACCTGCTCTGATATTTTTATAGTGAGTGTGATCTAATTTCCATCATTGGTATGTAATGTCTATTATTATCATTTAAGTTTAATCACATTTTGACTCACCTTTGTCGGCATGCATCCTCTTTGCTTCATGGCTCATGTCGTGGGCCAGGTCTCCCTCTTTAGGACCAGGTACAATGTTTGGAGACAGGCCTAGCAGGGCTTGGTTCATCGACAGGCCRTTGTGGTGTGCTGCTACAGAAGAGACAACAAAATCATGCAGTGTTTGTCTTCCTATTTTAATTGTCTATACAGCTCATTTAATTTTTTATTATCTTTTTATCACTCAGTTGCAATAAAAAAAAAAACAGAACAGCTTACGTATCCTGTCTGAGGAGCTTTCTGTGTGGGCCGGGGAGCTGGACACACTGCTGCTGCGGTGGGATGACGGGTGACTGCCAGGCCTCCTGTGGTCTTCTAAGGAGGGAGCAGGGGAGGGACTGTCCGGCACACGTTCCTGCAACCCCAGTAGCCACAAACACAACACATCCAAAATAAACATCTGATGCAAACATTATGAAAAAAAACAATCAAGGAGGAGGAATGTTTAGTTTTAAAATTACCTTTATAACAGAGGTGACCATTCTGGAGGGCAGACTCTGACCCTGTGCGGCAGCAGCCATGTTTGCGATGGTGCTGAGGTGGTTCATCTGGCTCATCGCCATGGTGACAGAGGCAGGGGGAAGGCTGACTGGGATCAGGGGGTGTGGCATCATCATGAAGGGGAGTTCCAGGCCTGAGACACATGACAAGGTAGTTGGTTATTCAATGATGCGTATTATGGAGTGAGATCCTCACATGGGGAAACTTGTGAATCTCTGGCAGAACACTGGAAAGCTGCTGGTGTTAATTCATCAGCCAGTAATGCAAAACACTGAGATACCCTTTAAATAGTGCTGCCCAATAACATTAACACCATTCTTTTTTCCATTAGAAAAAGAATATATTAATTAAAGCTAATTGGGAGGCTTTCCATGTTAACATTATACACATGAATTTTTTAATGCTTGTGTTAATAATAGATACCACTGCTATAACAATAAAGAAAACTTGGATGATACTTAGATAAACAGTCATCTGCAATAAATATACATCAATTATTCTACGATGAATAAAAAATGGCACATTATGGATAATTGTCTCAATATTTACACAAAAAATATCCCTTTGAAAACAAGGCCAATCTTGGAAGCCATTACCCAAATGACTAGTTAAATGTGCTAATGACAAACACGTATTGTTAGTCTACAGTGTGGCAATGACTTTGGGCTAATTATAGCGGCTCATAATCAAGAGCAGAGCAAGGAAAAAGAAGAAGACTCGGAACAAAAGAGTTCAGATCTCATTATAAAAGGGAGTTTTCTTTTTTCTTTTTATACGCTCACAAATTATTCCATTTTAACATAAGAGATATCTTACAAATGTTTTAAATTATTCAATTGCTGCCTGGCAATGGTGGCCTAATAGGGAAAATTGAGGACATTAGCAAACTGTAAATGTAAAGAATGTCCAATAAAGATACCATTGGGGGATGGAGGGATGTAACAGTTAGTCAAACAGTGGCCCTGTTCCATGCGCCTGAATGCCTTAATGAAAACAAGGGAACTTTCAAAGGACATGAGCACAGACAGAAGGTCAAAGCTAGGTGTCTGTAGCTCCCTCCTCAACCATTTCACCCCTTCCCCCCACGCTCTGTGGAGACTTTGAACTGGCAGGATCAAAAGTGACTGGAAACATTTTGGTCTTGTTCCTTCGCCACTCAGATGCCTTCCCTGAAATGCTTTCAAGAAAACCTCACGGACGCTACTGGATCTGACTGAGCCTCTGTGTTGATTTTTCACTTCTTTCTTCTCCTCTCTTTCTTGGCAGCCTGATTCAAGGTGCAAAAAAATAAATAAATGAATAAAAGAGAGAAAGAGTAAAAGAAAAAAAGATGGCACACCACACAACGCTATCCACAAAACAACTCCGCTCCTCTTTTCTTGCAAAACATCAGTAGCCAAAGGGCAAGGAGATCTGCATGGCGGAGCCTCTAAAGAGAAGGACACTGGTTGAAAATGAAAGGACGTGAGAAGTACTCCTCTCTGTTATTCCACCTCCTTCCAAAAGAAGCATTGATTTCCATAAGAAAGATGGCATGCAGTTTCCTCAGTGGCGAGTATACCCAAACAATATAAAGCAAGGGGGGAGATTAAAGCAAGGCGGAAGCCAAGCAGCACCTTGTATCAGCGCCTCCGCTCAAGCTCAGACTGAATCAATTACCACTCAGCAGGCTAAGCTCAATTAAAAAAACACCACAGAGGGCCTGATTGCGCGAGTACTTACCGTAGGAGGATAACTTGGTAAGGTCTAGGCTACCTATCAGGCTTTCGAGGCCACTCAAAGGCCAGAGTGAAGAGACTTGTTCTGCCTTTGAGGTAGACATGTAACACCCATTCAATCAAACACAGACAGATTTACACCATATTGAGAGAGAGTGACAAAGGAGGTGAAAAGTCACCTAACATAATGCAAGGCTCCTCTCTGTTGCTGCAATAACATTCCCTCCGTCTTATCTCTTTGTTATTTCTTGTACTCGATGCTACGTGAATGTCATGACTGACAGCTTGGCTCAAGAACACTGGACTTCTGTTCACTCTGAAGGGGGTATTAGTCTCGCTTTCAGTGCTCGTCCAGCCCCTTTCATGTCACTCCCCCGTCCCAAAGCAATGTTTCTTCCATAAAGACCCWTTCAGGGTCGCAGTAAGGGAATGTGCCACGGACCGACAAGGGTCCACCAAATCCCTTTTGTCCGTAACTGAAAGGAGCCAGGTGAGAAGAACATTCATTTATTCAAGGAATCTGGCTTTTTTTTTTGTCGTTGCAATACAACTAAGTGTTATTCACATGCCATGCAGCTCCTTTTCATTTTGTCTTGTTAATAAGGGGACCACTTTACCCAAAACACCTTTTTTAATTTAATAAAGTGTGGAAAATTACCTTTGCTTTTGCATTTAACAACAGAATCAAATGTCATTATTTAGACTCATTAATCACATTGAAGCTGTGCATATTCCAGCGGGCAAACTGCTAGAAACATATCTGTCGGTTTCTGTTTATCTTTGACGCAGAAGTTCAGACCTGAACAACCCCCACACCCCTCCTCGTCCTCCCCTCGTCTCTCCTGAAGGGCATAAACAATACATTTGAGGTAATTTACCTGGAGTAAGCCTGAGGGACCCACAAAGGTGAACTCCTATTTACCATCATTAAAACTACAAATCGCTTAATACCAATATAAACAGCTCAGCTATTATGTTGTGCCGTGCTTGCGAGGTTCACGCATGGATAGGTAAAGATCTGAATTGCAAAGGATGAATTGAATGAATTAAAACAGCCCTTGGTAACAGCCTGATTAAAAAGCTGTTACATCAAGCTTTTTGGTATTTCAGTTACTTAAAAGAATCACAGCAACAACAACAAAAGATTGAATGTTTTAAAATGATTAAAAGGGAGAGCAGTAATTCATTTTGATGACAAAAATATGTATCTTGCACTGATTTGGGCTGCAGTTAATCTTCATCAAAAACAAAACCTCAGTCTTTCTGGCTATCTAATCCTGCCGAGGGAAATAAGGAGGAAGAAAAAAGAAAAAAAAAAAAAGGAGAAGAAGCAGCTAAAGCCATTGTCATTGAAAACGGTATGAGAAAGCAAGCAGCCCCTTAACCTTAACTCTGTTGTGGACAGATTTCCCCTGACAAAAATTAAACTAGCTCCTACTTGGCACTTTATTATCTCTTCAACTGAATGATTTATTGTTTGTGGAGAGAAAGAACCAAAGAGAGAGGGGAAGATTACATTTCCAGCCAAAGCTCAGACCTGATCTAGTTTTTTTTTTCCTTCTTCTTCTTCTTTTTACTCCCTCTGTCCAGGAAAAAAGCTCCCGACAAACAATAATGTCAGCTGTAATTGATCGGAGGTCGCCGGCTGGGCCTGCAGTAAAWGCGCACTATTTAAGCGACAATCGGCCCCGCGCTCTTCAGACGCTGGCTAATGAAGCTGTCTGTCTGGGCTATTTACCTTCTCTTAAATGGAAGGGGAGAGATGTACTGTAAGAGACAGGGCTGGAGAGGATCTGCCTCGCACATGTGAAATAGGACCTGCACATGCCTCAGGAATGTATAATTGGTTGCCGCAGCCAAAGCTGGGGATTCGGTGCTAATTAAATGACTTGTTTAAAGCCTATCTGTCTTTGTTTGGGAGGCTCTGGGCTTCTGAACAATGCATTGTAAATGCTGTTGTCAAACAAACATTCCTGGTTATCCTTTGATTGGAACTGAACAAGACAAAAGGCTGATTTACTCAATGCTAAGCCTTTGGTTTTTCTAGTGTTGAGATGCCCCCCCCAAAATCTGTCAAAGCAAACAGGACCGATCCAGTCAAGCAGTTAAATAAGACCAAATCTTTTCATGGCGCATGCTGCAAAACAATCTGAGTTTCCCTGCTAATTGCTCTTGTAAAAATGCCCCCATGTTGTGCTTGCGTTTGTTGAACAAAGGTGAGACGGTGGTGTAACGCACATGGAGAAGTCTTTGTTGTGGTCACGTTGTGGATTTGCACACCGGTCCTGGAAGGAAATGAGCAACTCGTGAAAAAGTGTCTGTCATGCCTCGAGACATTTAAGGGGCACTAATCAGCTATTCATCTTTATCATAGCTGTTAATCTCTAAAATCTGAAGCCCTTTTTCTGTGAGACGGAGGTCTCTTTACGCCTTTTATATTGAACATAAAAAATAGCCTCCATAAACATGCTGTCTGCTGTTGCGGTGCCACATAAGACATGTACCCAGAAACATACCGTTCCCCACTTTCACACAACCATACACACATAAATGCAAACAAGGAAAAAAAAACAGACACACACAGATGGCAGGTTCAGTCAAGGCTGGTGAGTCCTGTTTCTCATTAAAAAGAGGGGAATGAGAAAGGTATAAAGCTTTGATGTATAGCCACCCACAGCCCTTCAGTATCACTGAATGAAACTTTGAAGCTTTTTGTGTTTACATAGTTAATGTCGATAGTAAAGCAAACATCTTGTCTTTGTTAAATACTTGCTTCGCACTCAACGTATGCACACACACACAACATGAAACAGACACATAAAGAGAGTGCCGTGACAAAGGGAGGGAAACACAAACACACACACACACACACACACACACACACACACACACACACACA